GTTAATGGGTTACCTGTGTAATAAACCAGTTCATCCCAGCCAGGTTTATGCCACGCTGCATTCCTTATATCTTCCCTGGTTTGCAGGTCTTTGTAAGCTGGGAAAACAAGCACAAAGTGATTCCTTTCCCTTCTGCACAGGAAGAGATCCCTTGAAAGAATTCCAAGGAGGAATTAGGAGGCTGGGAACAGCGGGAAGGAATAAAAAAAAAATCAGGAGTTCTCTGCCAGAAGGAAAAGCTCCCAGAGCAGCACAAGGAACTGGGGAAGACAGAGAATGCCTGGGCACAGGTAAGATAATGCAGGGGCACAGCTCTGCATGAGGGCTGCCAGATTGCTGAAATATAAAATTCTGGATTGTTGGGATATGAAGAAAAAACTGAGTCATTTCTAACAAATTATTATTTTTCAAGTTGAAACACTCCTAAGGTGTTTATGAATATGAATGCACAGAGAAAGCCAAAACACCTCCATGCAGGAATGGAAATAAATGCCTGACTTTCCTTTCTGCAGGTGTGGTGAATGTGAGGCTTGAAATGAAACTAAAAAAGTGATTTCAGCACGAGCTGGGATGGCAGGGTCATGGTTGTGGGAGAGTAAACATTGAGCTCCAAATGAAAAAGGGACAGCAGAAATTGTGGGAGAAACAGCACAAAACAGCAAATGTTCATTTCTTGTTTGGTGAAGAATAAATTTGCCTAGACAAAAATTTAAAAAAAACCCAACTAATTAATAAATTAAAAAAAAATAGGAAAATAACAGATCTTGAAACCCCAACTTTTAAGACATTTCCTTTGCCTTTTGTAAAAATATTTCCTCCTGGGCAATGTGACTGGACTGACTAAGTGAGAGGAAAAAAAAAAAAAAGCAGAGAAGAGGAGGAATTGATTTACCCCAAAGGTGATGGACCATGTAGAGCTGTCCAATCTGGGAGAAAAATCCCCCAACTGCTTCATTGCTGTCCTGTCGGAACCGAATTGCACGAGCCCTGCAGGGGAGCACAGAAACATCAGAGGCTGCACAAGAGGGCAGGAAATCAAGGAAAATGGGAAAAAACAGAGTGCAAGGGAAGCTGGAATGTTAAAACTGCATCTGCAGCAATTTCAAAGTGAGAAAAAATCTGCACCGTGCTTGTTTTTAGCACTAAGTAATTAACATTTACCTCTGTGTCTTGTTAGGATGCTTTTTAAAATTGGAGGCTACATTTTCACTAAACTTGGCATTAATCATTTTTCAACCAAATTCAGGATAAAGGTAATTGCTGGGATAGTGTAAAGTGGCCTTTTAATAGCAAGTTTTATAACGAAATCCTTAAGTTTTAGTCATGTCAGCTTTGCCACATCAATTTTGCACAGATTTTGTGGTAGTGGAATACAACTTTTTATTCACATGGATCATTAAGATAAATATTTCTCTTGTTGTATCTTATAGAACAGGTTTTCAGCAGAGATGTGCCTATTTTATAAAAAAAAAATTCTAAATTCAATTTGTTCAAATTACTGTAATTGAAAAAATGATATCACTGACAAGTCTGAAGATTTAAGTCCTCACCTTTGTCCAAATAATTGAAAACACTCCAAATTGTTTAACTATCAATCACTAGAATTGCAAGGACAGTGAGTGTAAATTGAAATAAGCTTACAGTGGTTAAAAATAAAACAAAAGCAGAAGCACATAATCAATAGGAAACTATCTGAAATACTTCTAACCTATAGATTAAAATACAAATGTGCTGCTCAGCAGCTTTTCAAGAAGCAACTTGACTTTGAAAGCTTAAAGAGCCAAGATTTAAGCTGCAATGGTTTTGGGAAAGATGAACCAGGTCTCCCAGAAGAAGTGCCACTCTTCCCAAGCAGCCTTCTGCTGAAAATAAAAGGTTTTTTGCAGCAAACTGAAAGGGTTCTGGGAAGCAAAGCCAAACCACAGAAGGTTGTTTGTGCACAAAATTCCCTTTTTTTTTCCTCAGGGGGTCACAGGACTGTCTGAGCAAGGGGGCAAGTGCAGCAGCAGCTCCTAAGTGGGAGTTTGGTGGCTCTGGTGCCACCCTGGCACCTCCTGTCCTGCTCTTTCTACTCCTGCACCTCTGAAGCAGGAGCACCCCAGGACTGAAGGCAACACTCACCAGTAATTGCCCCATTCAATCATTGTTCCAGGCTGCAGGAATAAAACACACTGTTAAAGCTGCAGTTTAAAAAAATCAAATTATACAATTTTCAGACCGTTTCTGTCTGGAAACCACCCTGTATGAACACACTGCCTCCCTCTGAGTGATAAGAATATTAAAATCATCTCTAATTGCTCTGTTTACCACCTCTTAGTCATCTCTGAAGCATCCCTCAAAGCAACCACAGAGTTTCAGCCCTGCAGACAGCAGATCTTGTTGGAGCCTGCCTTCACCTCAGACCCCACATCTGAGAGCAGCCCTGACTCAGAAATCAGCTTGGATAAAAAGCAGATTTTTCAGACAAGCTCTGCTTGCCATAAAAAAAAAAACTCTCCAAAGGTTTTAGGAAAGCACAGAGCTTTAAAAATCAGAAAAAAATAAAATTGTGACTTACTCTGAGTTGGTAGGATCTCAGTTCATAAATATTGGGGCCATCTCTGGGAACAGGTTCATTCCAGAAGCTGAACTCCAGCAGCAGCTGGTTCTTACGGGAGAGGAGCATGTTACCCCTCTCCTTACGGAATTCTGTGAATTCCTAAAAAACCACGTGGGAAATGGGTCAAATTCTGCAACAACAAACAGCAGGACACCACAGGCTGGCTTAGGTTGGGGTTTTTTAATGTTGTCAGGGTTGTGGGACAGTGAAATCCTGAAAGGAATCTGAATTCTCCCTGGTGAATCTGAGAATTCCAAGGATTTACACGTGAAATATTCAGGAATTAAATGTGAATGTGACAATAAATCCTCTCTCAAAGAGGTTTCTGGGCTTGTACAGGAAGGGATGAGACACTTTGGTATCTAAATTTGCATTTTTTTAATTTGCTCTGCCTGTTCTTTTTAACAAAATCAGTATTTTTTTACCTTATTTTGGCGAAGTTTGCTCATGACCTCATTGAGAGCTGGGTAACCTCCCTCATATCTCCACAAATGAACTGAAACAGAAAAAATTTTCAGTTTTTTCAGGGATGTCCCAGACCAGTGGTAAATCTTAGGGAAAAATCACACTATAATCTCTTCACACTACAAATTACACAAAAAATAGCAACCAGGCAGCAGGTTTGAGAACAGATTTTCATTAATGAAAGCACTACACATTGGAATATTTTAGGGATAATGGAATCATCTGTTTTTTGAAAGGGCTTCTCTTGGAAAATTTTGCAATTTACTCTGAGGGTAACAGGGGAATTTTTGAAAGGACTTTTTGTGCCATGCTAGTAAGATGTGAGGACTTGTCATGACATGTTATTGAAATTAAGATTCAGCTGAAGTGGATGACTTAATTCCAAAAATGTGCTTTGTACCAATTTCATTAATAGCAGTAGAGGGGCAGATTTTCAGTAATTACTCCAGCACAAAAGCAAGACACTTTCTGTAGGACATGAAAAACAATGCAAATGTTATTTCTGAGCTCAACATTAATAAAAGCAGAAGAAAACAGAACATTTGCTGGGATTTCCCCCATAAAAACAATTCCAGTATCTATGTTTTTATCTAATTTTTTTTCCCAAAGCATTCCCTCTTTAATAAATCAGAAGAAACCCCTTTAATAAATGACAGAAAGATGTATTTACAAGCATTTAGAATAGCAAGGCAATCATTTCACCTCACAGAAAAATAAAATCTCTTTTCTCCCCTCTTAAGCTGCTCTGTGCCTTTTCCAAGAGCAGAGGAGGCTGATGGGAGGCCCTTCCCTGTGAGAGCAGATTTCTGCTCCTGCTGCCTCACCCCCAGGGCAGATTTGATGGATCCACCTGATATGAACAAGTCAAACCCCACAATCTGCTTTCTTCCAGTGTTGCAAGAACATTTCCAAGGCAGGCTGGGGATGCAGTGGCAGATCCAGCCTGTGTTAATCTGTTCCAAAAGCTGCCACTGGGACTTGCCTGAGAATTCTCATTTCAATTGTCCTCATTCCCCAATTCCCCTTCAACTTCCAGGGTTGGCTCTCAGACATTGTTTGGTTCATCTGCTGTTAATTCTCTGCATTTGTTCAGTGTCAATATTGCAATATGCTGGCAGTGCAGGGAGAATTGATGTGTGCAGGAGTTTATTTTTTAATTAGGAAGCAACAGCACCAATCCTGGCACAGCTCTCACAGAACCTCTATGGATTTGGATCTGTGGCTTCCCATTCCTTCCAATTCCCAGGGCATTTTTCAGGTTTTCTCTCTACACTGGGCTCTTTGGAGTTACCTCTGTAGCAGCTCTTCAGTCATGTCTAGTTCCAGTTTGTTTTCATAGTTAGGCAGTATCCTTGTATGAACATGAACAGAAAGATTTTTATTTTCCCCCAGTAAAGTTGAATGTTAAGTTTACAATGCAGATGGATTGGAATGATTTGCAATTCATTATCACACAGCAATTACAGCCTGAAAGGCTGAGCAAAGCTTTTATATTGCCCAAGGAGGGACAAACTCTGGCTTTGCAGGAGTTACCCATAAATATTCAGGAGCTGTGCCCACAGGACTGAACTTTACAAATATATCCCCAAAACCTGTGAATTTTAACAACCTGGAAAACATGAAAATACATCAACAACGAGACAAAACCGAAGGGATGAAGGCTCTGCTGTCCAACCCAGCACGACAAAAAGCAAGCAGTGCACATTTAAGACAGCTCAGAAGTGATGAACACAACCCCCTCACTGGATACATTTCCCCAGGGGGTTTGGGTGTCAACAGAAATGATTTAAAAAGAAGAAACCTGCCAAGCACACGGGTTTACATTGGGTTGTACTTCTATCTCCTACCAGCCTGATCCTGCTCTCCGTACCACGTGTTCCAAGTCCCCACCAGAGCACAAGGGTAGTGTTTTTCTTCATGAATCTTTGGCAGCACCTCTTGACTTGAAAACAAGGAACACACAGACACTGGGTTGCATTGCCTTCAGGGAGGCCACAGTTGATAAATGTATAACACAGCATCATGCTAGGTACATTCACAACTTTATTCTGCAGAGGAGAAAGCTGAAATAATCAAATTCTGCTATGCAGGGAGAAGGTGGCTACACCTCCATGAAGAACTGAGGTGAGTGTTACCATTTTTTCAGAAATCTTTAATAAAGGATTCTTTGGATGCAGTAAATTAGGTGTATCTAAATAATTCTGTCTATCTAAAAGGTTATCCAACACATCAGGGAAAAAAATATCAGGATAGCTCACTGAAAATTCAGCCTACATGGGAGATTTGCTTGAGGAAAAGCTTTTCTTTGCTTGAGAAAAGGTTTTTTTTTTTTTGCTTGAGGAAAAGCTCCCCTCGAGGAAGAGAGAATGTACAGAAATGTGAAAGCACACTCTTCTAAACCAGTTACAATTGCTGAGCTGAATGAATAAAATAATTTGATAAATGAAATAATGGCTGTACCTCAGAGTATTGTTTTTTGATTTCAGAAAGTGATCTTCCCTTGAGGCAACTCACTCACTAATGAACAGTGGGACTGTCTTAAAATTACCTTCACAAAATTTCTGCCTGACTCTTCCCAGGATTTCTAACACTCTTTCAAACTTTAGAAGTGGCCCATATTAGCAGGAGGAAATTAAGTTTTGCTGATTGCCAAGACAGCTTTCCCTGCACTGTGCCTTCATGAGTAAGACAATTAGTCTGGTTGAACTCTGCCTTTTCTATTTTTCCCTGAATAATTCCCCTTCTTTCTCAGTTTGGCTCACAGGCAATGAGTCTCTGCACAGTATCAAGGAATAAAAAGCAGGCTGGGCTGGGAGTCATTAGAAATGAGTTTTCCTCTGGATTCTGCCACTGACTTTCCAGACAACCTTGAGCAAACCTCATTACTAATTTGTACCTCGACATTTTCTCACTAGCCAGAGTAAATAATATGATAAAATGACTCTCCAAGGACATTCCCAAGGATGTTTCACCACCAGTTCATTTTTGCAAAGCAGAATGAGATCCTAGAAAGGCAACTTTGAAGAGGAATGGGAAATGATTGCATAATTCTGCCATATATTGTTGCAAATTAGAGAAAAAATGCTCACAGAATACCTTTTAAAAAAACCTCTCCCTAATTCCTCAGAAGGGCTCCTTAACCCCAGTGATTCATTAAATATCCTTGTAATTGTCTTCATTACATTATTTATTAATACCTGATGACTAATCCTCATTTTGATTTGATACAGAATTAACCTGTTCTTTTTTTTTTTCTTCTTTAGGGAGAGGCAGGAGGGAAGTTCAGAGAGGCATAATTTTGTTTATTACTTTATTCAAGTTGTCTCCTTGCCTGAAATACTTCAATTTGCTTTGGAAAGAATCAATCTAACCACAGATATTTCATCTGACTGCTGTCAGCATTTTCTTTCTTTGCTGTTTGTCTCTTTCCTTGAAAACAGAAATCTCTGCTCTCACTCAACATTCAGGCAGCTCATGAAATATTGCAGAGAAGTGATTCCCTGTCTTGCATAATTGGACATGTTTATATTCAACTTTTAAACAGCAAGCTGGCTGAATGCTAATTGTCCTTTAGTGTGCATCTATTTTTTTTAAACAAAGAAAAGCTAAAAATACCTCGATTGAATGTTATTCTAGTGGCTTTTAATGCTTCTATAGCAGGGAAAACAGTTCTGGGTTATCCAGCTCAACACAGAGGTGACAGATGAGCTGTGAGGCCACCCAGTAACAGCTGAGGACATGAACTGGGAGCTGGGACTTGCTCCCCTCCCTCCAGCCCAGCTGCTGTGCTCACACTTCAAAGCTGGTTGTGGAAAAGTGTCATTGTGCTGAGAATAGTTTTTTTATTGTCAGTTGGAAAAGCACTGCTGGCTGTGAGGCTCACTCCATCCCCAAATTTAAACACACAAGTCTTTCAGGGCTCCAGAGGGAGGATTATGGAGGAGAAAAGAAGCAATATTTCTGCAGTTTTACCCTTGAAACAGTCCATTTCAAATGGGGGTAATTCCTACATGGTGTAAAGCTGTAACTTTTTGGGAAAGCTGTCCCAGTACTGCTCCCTTTGGAGGGAATCACCCCAATGCACAGACCCCACCAAGGGTTGGTGTAACTCCTGGGAGCAGCTCAGCAACAGGACTCGTGCAGAGGGAGATCGATGAGCTGAGAGGAAATCAACCCCTGGGTTTTTAACAGCTCTGAGTTCTACCTGAGGTGAACCCTGGTGTAGTTTTATTTACCAGTGATTTCTCTTTCCTTACAGTGTGCACACAAACCCATCTTCAATCTGGCAGCTGCAGTGGGAATGCCAACATTCCACTTTTTCCTGCAGGGATCAGGAATTTTAAGACCACTCAGGGAATTGGGAGAGCTGCTCCAGCAAATGTCACCAAAGCTCTCAGGACAGGAATCATCCTCAACTGCAGCTTAGGAAATGACAATACCAAGAGGGAAGTGGGATGAACTGAGTACAGGATTTTTTGCTCTTTCATAGGATTTAATACCAAATCCTAAACCAGCAGATTTTTGTCACCTCCCCTCTACATAACTATAATATCTGCCAATTTTCACATCCAATCAAATGTCTTAAAGGTGAAGAGAACTCACACACTTACCAGAGCTTGTTGTAGGCCTCTAGACATTCAGGTTTGACATTGTGAACTGCAACAACAACAACAAGAGGGTGAGGTGGGCAGGGACAGGGGGAGGGAAGGGTGCTGCTGACACACAGCCATCACTCACACTGCAGTTTGTACAGGCTGCTGGTCTCTCTTTTGGCCAGGAGGTTGGAGTGGGCGTCTTTCCTGGGATCCACCTTACGCACGAACAGCGATTTTAGCCAGCTGTCCTCACGGGCACTGCGGGCCGAGGAGCCCAGCCCCCTGCAGGAACCAGCACACAACAACCACTGAGCCCCTGCAATGCCCGCCAGGCAGGCAAGGCAAATCATGTCAATGACAGGAGCACAACCCTAAAACTTCCCACCCAGCCTCTCCCAGCAAGGCAAAGGCAGCTCCATCACTGAGATTGATCATTTCACCAGATACAGTTATCCACGTTATCCATGGTTATTCCCAGCTTCTGCCGCCTTTTTATTCTCTTTTTAACCCACTGTCTTTGCCCAGGGCTGGGTCTGGCATGGTGTAAACAGTCAGGAGTGAATAAGAGTAAAAAACGTGCAGTAGGAAAAGTGTAAAATTGGAAGGGAATTGCCATATGCTCCTGTGCTGCTTAAAAACAGCTCGACAAAAGGGAAAGGGAAATGTCTTTCAAGAGGAAAAATAGCATGAAAGGCTAATTTGGGAAAAAGAGATGAGTGGTAGGAAATAACCAGCCAGGAAATATTTCAACTGCAGATTCTGGCAAGTGCATCACGTAGGGACACAGAGCCAGGCTCTCTGTACAACATCCACGTTTCCCTTGCCTCAAAACACAAGGTTTGCACTGTCCTTTCTTATCTCATCTTTATTCAGCTTTTCCACTTTCAAAATAGTGTCACCTCCCTTTACATCACAGCACACAGACCAAGTGATAACTGTGGTTTTTAAAGTGATGTGTTAAAGGAATTATTCCTCTTTTTCAGCTGATCAGGACAAGGAATCTGATGCATTTAACTGATCCTCTACAATGTCTGACAAGCTTAAACGTTTTTGCTTCTTTCTCTTCCTTCAATTTGCATTTTTTTGACAGCCCAATAGTAGCCACAGTGAAGAAAATGAATTCTGTTACAATCTTCTCCTGAAATACTAAAATATTAAATGTGGTTATTTATACCACATATATTTAATTCTAAGCTGGAAATTTCAGCCTTTTTCTGCCTCAGATGTTAACTCTTCACCCTTAGTACTGACTTGAGAAGACAGCTGGATTTCCAGCTAAAAGCTTTCTTCCAGGAAAAAAAAAAAACAGGGGAAAAAAAAATCTCAATTTCCTTTGAGAAAACAGCCCCCTAGAGACACCTGTATTACACAAAAGCAGTTTTTTACAGCAATCCACCTTTTAATCCCAGTGTCAGAAAAGAACATAACGACCTGGTTCTGCCCATGGGAGCAGGATGGAGGAGAGGGAAAGTATTGCACAGCAGAGAAACAACGACCACAGCTGAGATGACCTTCAGCACCAAGAAATAACATATAAATCTTGGTGTGTTTATTGAAAACGGTGCCTTCCTTGCCCTGGGCACACACACAAACATGTGGCTGTGCTGGAAGCCAAGCAGCTATTCCTGAGGGCAGCCATTTGAAGGGCATTCCATGATAAGGCAGCTGCTGGAGTGGAGCTTTGTCCAAGCTCAGAGCACGGGCGTGAACCCCACCCCAGAAACTCAACTTTTGTTTTAAAAACTTCCCTCAATGAAGCCCTCTCTGGCTCCAGGAGGCAGAAGTCAAGCCCACTCCCAGACCTGTAAACTCACACCATTCCCTCTCCTTTATTAAACAAAGTCAGCAAAGCAATATTTAGAAAACTTATCTACAAGGATCATTGTTTGCAGCAAACTTTGAAGAAGAAAGAGAAAAATAATCCTGATGCTTTTTTTGTGAACTTCATCAGCAGCAGGAGTAAGCTAGAGCTACAGGGATAACTCTGAAAAGCAAATTTCTTTGCTCTTAGGAGAATCTCATGATTTGGATGTTAAAGTGCACCTAAAACTGGAGGTATGGTTAATTTTCAGAACAATGAAAAGAGTAATACTTTACATTTATGGAAAATCTTTTCCCCAGCAGCTGTAAAGCTCCTCATGAGCACTAACTAACAAATCACAACTAAATACATACCTCATATAGAATAAAGGTAAAAGGCTAAGTTTATTAAAGCAGATGTTCACTGCAACCAAACTAAGATTCAAAGGCCTGATTTTTAATCAATATCCTAAAATACCAATGCCACCCCAGACTCCCATGAACCAAGAAGCCCTGAACTAATCACTGGAGCTCTGCAGGAGCAGGGACTGAATTCAGGTCTTTAACAGCTGTGAGCATCAACTCGTCATTGGTGTCAAGTTCTCAACACGCAAATATTAACTGTGGGCTTTGCTTTCTTTCTTACAAAGGTTGGGCTCTGAACACAAAAGGCTAACACTGAATAGCTTCCTTAGATTAGATTAAAAATACCAGGGAAAAAACTTCTTTACACTTAGCTCCTGCTTTAGCACAAAATATAACCTGAGTGGAACATATCAGGTCAAGTATTTAGATTTTGTAGTAACCCAAATCTGCCTGGAAGAGCAAGAAAAACAACTTGTCTATAGTTTAACAGATTTTGATATGTGATCTAAACAAAGTTTATTTGAAACTAAAATAACCCCAAAACATGCATGTAAAACCTCACAACATATTCTCTGAACAGCCAGGGATGCTTTTAGTCCTGCCTATTCTGAAGCTTGTGGCAGCAGCTTTCCCTGTTTCAAAGAAAGGGAGGAAAAACCGAGTAGAACCATCCCAGCTTAGGAATTCCTGCGTTTCCATCACCCTGTGCCTGCTTCCTACACCTGAGAGGTGCCCAGGAGCTCTGTGCGTGTGGGAATTGCAGCCCTGCACACAGAAATGCAAAAACCTTGAGGGATGTGCCCGTCTGTGTGCCCTGGCACCGGGAGAGGGGGACACATCCCAGCCCCCGTGGGAAGGAATGGACACATCAGCCCTGACTGCCAAGGGGATTCCACGAATGAATGCTGAAGGCAGGAAGATATCGGGAAGTGCAGCCCAGCCCTGTGGAAACACGGATTTTGGGCTGTGCACCCTGTTGCTCGGAAGAGTTGGGATCCGGAGCAGCTGCACGCCCTGATCCCGGAGGGAGCATCCAGCTATTTAAACCCCGGAACACACGTGTGCAGGGCACCCAAAAGCCGTGTTTGTGGGCTGCCCTGCTCCACCTGTTCCGTGCGGCGGTGTCCATGCAGGGCGGGGGCCGTGAGGGACGAGGGCTCGGTGCAGGGAAGGGCTCTCGGTGCCCCCTCAGCCAGGCACCGGCGGCCGCCCGCTCCCGGCGGCGCGGCCATGCTCCCACCCAGGGGCGGACTCGGCAAGGAAGGGGCCGGCCTTGCGGCCCGTGACCTTGAGGGCCACCCCGCCGCCTCACACTCCCCGCCCCAGGCCCGGCTGCTGCCCCGTGAGCGGGGCGGCCATTTCCAGCCTGGGAAGGGGACGCTCTGCGCGCCGGGGCGCCGGGTGGCTCGGGCGGCGCCGGCTCCGCTTGCAGCCTCCCCTCGGCGGCCCCGTCCCGCCCGCCTCGCCCCCTCAGGGCTCACCTGAGGGCCAGCCCGGCGCCGGGCTGCAGGCGCGGCAGGGCGGGCGCTCCCGCCAGGCTCCCCCGCAGCAGCACTCGCGCCGCCATCTTGCTCCCGCCGCCTCCCTCCTGGGCCGGGGGCTGCGGCCACGCCCCCTGGCGGGCAGCGCCGCCTGCGCATGCGCGGCTGTGGCGGCGCCGGGACCCCCTCACGGCCCCTGAGCTGAGGGGAGACCCCAGCCCCGGTGTGGGGACACCGAGCAGGACTGAGGGGAGACCCCAGCCCCGGTGTGGGGACACCGAGCAGGA